GTATTGAGAATACCATCCGCATTGTACTTTCTCCTAAATACCCATTTGCACCCTATAGGTTCCGATCCAGGTGGTAAATCGACTAATTCCCAAGTGTTGTTTGAGATTATTGAATCTATTTCATCATTTACAACATCCTTCCAAATGTGCTATCTCTAGATGACATTGTTTCTTGATAAGTTTTATGATCAGTTTCTACTTGAAGAACATACTTAGTAATTCTCATGACACACTTCTCATTTCCCTCAAAGAAGTAAGTTGAGAGTCTAATTCATCCGGTCCTAACACTTTATCTTTTCGAGCTCTTTTACTTCTACGAACTTTACTTATTTCAACATCCTCGGAATGTGTTTCTACTTGTAATATTGCAAAGCTAGGAATCTCCACTTGAGGTTAACTTTACTTATTTCAACATCCTCGGAATGTGTTTCTACTTGTAATATTGCAGAGCGAGGAATCTCCACTTGAGGTTCCCTTAGAGAATTATTATCTGAAGATAACATATTCTCAAAGAACTCTACTTCACAGTATTCAATAATAACATTGGTTTCTAAGTTTAATAAACGATATGTCTTGCTATTTTGGGAACATCTTATAAAAGTGACTTTGATCCCTCTAGGATTCAACTTAGTCCTTTTAGGATACATATTCTTACTATAAGCAAGATACTCCCATATTTTGAAATAACCAATATTCAATTTTCTCTCTTTTCATAATTCATATAGAGAAGCCTTAAATCTTTTAGAAGGAATCCTATTAATTATGTGACGCGCACTTAATAAAGCTTCATCCCATGAGTTCGATGGTGCCTTAACATTTAATAACATATCATTTATCATTTCAACTAGTGTCCTATTTTTTCTCTTAGCCAAACCATTTTGTTTGGGTGTTCTAGGTGTATACATTGATGTATTATGTAATGTTGTTCACAAAAAAGATTAAATTCACTAGAAAAGTATTCACCTCTCCTATCTTTTCTAAGAATTTTAATCTTTCTATTTAATTGATTTTTTACTTCGATTGTATATTTTAAACATATTAAAGGTTTCATCCTTATGTTTCATCAAGTAGATATAACAAAAACTAGAATGATCATCTACAAATGTTATGAAGTATATATTACCTCCTCTAGTTAACATTCTATTTAATTTACATATATAGGAATGATTTAAGTTTAGCAAATTAGATTTCCTTTAAACACTACGAAAATGTTTTATAAACATTTTAAACTTAACACATAATTCACATTTATTATGTTATATGTTTTTACATGAAATCATTCCGATTTCTTTTTAAAGTAAAAAAACTAACATGTCCTAGTCTATCACGCCGCAAAAAATAGACTCAACAACATAATTTAAATTTGTTGTTTTATTGATATTATTGTCAATAGTACAAAGTTTGACCATTCCATCACTAGAATAACCTTTTCCAACAAATACACAATTTCGGGAAAGTATAAGTTTGCCTGACTCACATGTGGACCTAATTCCCGATTTTCTCAATAAATCACCACTCACAAGATTTCAATTCATATCTGGTACATGTAATACATTTATTAATGTGATCCTCTTACTGGATGTGAATTACAGTCTATGCTTCATTTGCCAACAATCTTTGATTGAACTTCATTCCTCATTTGAATGTGTTCGTCATCATTTGATAGATTTTGAAAAAAGGATTTATCATAGCACACGTGTATGTGGCACAAGTATCATACCACTTTCTTTGAACCTTTCCTTTGACCGAATTCACAATGCTTACGGTAGCAATAATGTTGTTGGTTGGTTGCGATGTCTACAATTCCAAGCACAATGTCCGAGTTTGCCATACATATAACAAGAAACTTTGAATTTCTTCTTGTTCTTGTTATCTAATTTGTTGGGGTTTGATGATTTCCCCTTCTTGGAATCCTTGTTGTAGTTGTTTGGTTGATCCATGACATGGGCTTTGGAAGTGCCTTCATGAGAATGTTCATTCCTATTGTGCCCTTGACTCTTCGTCCATGTGAAGATGCTTTTGAATCTCTTCCAAAGAATAATCTTGAGAAATGTGAAGAATTTTCTTCCTATAAAAGATGGCGATTTCACAATGATTGCACCAACTTAAAAGGTTTTGGAAAGATCAATCTTTACAACATTCATTTTATTGACAATAACTTGCAAATCATACACTTGTCCTAAGATTTGCAAGTTATCCAAAAATTTGAAATCAAAATATTCAGAAATCAGAAACTTTTTGGTACCTTAGCATTCAGAATGTGTCCTCTACATATCAATTTATCTTCTTCTCTCTTATTCATTTCTACCCTTGTTTCGTCGATATCATTTGCGGTTGGTTTTGGCAATGGCGCCAAAATCGGATCCAAGATATAAAAGATCTTCAAGGTTGTAAGAAGAAACTTCAACTTGTCCTTCTATGTTGTAAAGTTCGACCTGCCGAATATGTCAAGCCTTACAAGGTATTGATTCATCATTTTTATCATAGTCATGGTTGTCTCGTTCTCCATGTTGAAAATATCGTTTGAGATTGTAGAGAAAAGTTGATGAAAAAATAAAAAAAAGAAAAACAAACAACAAGAATTTCGTCAAAATGAAAGGTTTGAAGGCTATTATAAATCGCTGTCCTCAAATAATATTTACCGCAACTAGGATAAGTGCTTGAGGCTTCAATGAAAAATATTTTGTAGAAGTAAAAAACCTTAATCCAAGTTAGAATCAAGAAAAACTAAACTTGAAAAGGAACTTTTAGAACAAATATATAAAATTTGATTTGATTTGATCTTTTGATTTGGATATAGGTTTATCAATTTGATGTTTGTGATATATTTTCCAATATGAAAACTATCCCCATTTATATAACATCAATCATTATGCATTGGAAAGGTGCCAAAAACAAGTCAAAAAGGTATAAAGTTCGAGGAAAATACGCCATAATTCAAAACCCCAACAAGCATATTTTTGTATAGGGTGACTGCCCAGTGCAAAATCAAGCGTCCTCCCACTTCATCAAATTTGCCCCAGTAATTGCAACACAAGGCCGAAGCAATCGCCCAAGCCATTTTTTGGCATTTACCCTTTTTGGCTCTCATTTTGTTTTCGCTTGTTTTTCTCATGGTTGACCACTTCTATTACTTTCAAAATCACCCTTCATTGTTAATTTGAACAAAATACAACAACTTTAATGTCCAAGTTAATGATTTTCATCACTTGAGGATCTGAATTCATCAATTTAAATACGTTGGTGACCGAAAATCTTACTTTTAAAGATTAAGGACATATAACTACACCGTATGAAAGGTTGAAATCCATCCTTAATTTAACCTTTATCAAATGAGCGTAGCAACATATTTAATAGTCAAAATCTCTATGGCCAACTATAGTGGCCTAACGTATCTCAACAAGATCCTTTAGAAATTTCTAGCGTCCTGCGGTGCAAAACTTGAATCACAAAACATGTTTGACAATGACGGGGAGATGAGCCAGTGGAGTCTCTGGTCCCATTGAAATTTGAGAAAATGTTTTTTATACGACTTTTAAGAAAATTGACAAAACACGTTTGTCTGAAAAACTTTGATAGTTAAATTAGGTCCCACAGAATTCGAATCCTAACTCCGTGACTCGTGTTTGGAGTGACTTATTTTAAAGAAAAACTTTGAGAATTAAGCTCCTCTGACAGAAGAAACTTACCCACCCGGTTGACCTGCTCTCACATTCGGCTGGGACCCGTGCCGACTCCACATGAATAAAAAATGCAAAAACATATACCCCACCCACCCTTATTGTGTGTGTATGTCACCTAGGGTGTCAAAAAAATTCTGACACCCTAACATCGTTCAAACTTTGAAAGTAAGACTTACATTGACTTAATTTAAAGAACTTCGGTACATATACAGAAAATTTTTAGCAGATATCATTATAGTTACACCAGTTGCCGACAAGCATTCATTGGGCTTTGGACAAAAAAAGTTTTGTGGCAGCCAATGAATGTTTGCCACCTCATCGACAGTAGAAAAAAATCCTGTAAATGCAGCCCATACAAGGAGCTTAATTGTAATTTTAATATCGGTCATGCAAGGGGTACATCACCCCTTACACAAGGGATGATATAATGACCAAGTGGCGCCTCCTCATTGGAGGGGCACCTCGGCCCACATGTGGGGCCTCGGAACTACTCCAATGAGGAGGAGCCACTTGACTATTATGTAAGATTAATAAAAAATGCAAATACATATACCCCACCCACTCTTATTGTGTGTGTATGTCACCTAGGTTGTCAAAATAATTCTGGCACCCTAACATCGTTTAAACTTTGAAAGTAAGACTTACATTGACTTAATTTAAAGAACTTTGCTACATATACAGAAAATTTTTAGCAAATTTCATTACAGTTACACCGATTGCTGACAAGCATTCATTGGGCTTTGGACAAAAAATTTTTTGTGGCAGCCAATGAATGTTTGCCACCTCATCGACCGTAGAAAAAATCCTGTAAATGCAGCCCATACAAGGAGCTTAATTGTAATTTTAATATAGGGGAGTTCACGTTCATAATAAACCACAATTATTGTTTATCTTTAAAATAAGCCATTTTACGTGCCCACAATGCATAGGATTTTTTTTTTTTTTTTTGTGTTTCTGGGTGGGGGGTCACATAGATACATAATTCATATGTAATCGCGATGCATGCTACGCTATGATGATACCACGATAATATGTACACACATTAAAAAAGCCACAAAATTACATTCCAGATAGCATTGTATCAAGTATCAATGCCATTGAGTTACTACTCCTAGTAAGTTAACTTTTTGAAATTGAGACAAGTCCAACATTAGCATTCAGCAATGCAATGGAAGTGGAAGAAAAATTGAAAAATCATTAATAAACTCCACTAAGTTCTATCCATATTAAAACCTAAACAATGAGATTAATAAATTGAAAGCAAATCATCCAGGATAGTGGTAGTGTAAGCTAGATTAATCCTTGTGGCACAATTATCTATAATTTGAGCTCAAGCTGCTCATCAGGCTTGGATGAATATTCAGGCTGCAGCTCTTGAAATTGGTTTTGCTCTCTTACAGTCCTGAATCAACAAAAAGGGAAGCAAAAGGAGTCAAAACATAGCTCAATTATTATGTAGCTCGGAGACGAATCATTACATATTATAGCATCAGAGCTGATCTCTTGCCCAGGATAACAATTGCTTACCACTGACGTGTTGTGCCACATCAACAGTCAAGACTTAACTTTTTACTTTTCAAAAGGAAAAATGTTTGTCACGTCAAAAGGTCGACATTATAACTCACGTGGGTAGGAGATCATTTCTAGTTATAGCATTGCCTAGAAGTAAAATTATCTTTTAAGAATTTTTTGCATTGGAAATTCTTTTGGCTTAGAAATGTACGGTGTGAAGTTCCTTACCTATCTTTTCTCTTTTCAAGGAAACGATGAAGTGATGATCTTCTTGCAATTGGCAAATCTGAAACAAGAAAATTTCATAAGTAGTCCATAGTTAAAACTTTTTTCTGAAAAGAGTAAATTATTTTGTCAAAAGCTATTACCAGAACCACTGGCTTCAACTTGTGGTGAAATCCTTTCTTCTGGTCTAGAGCAAGAGGCTACAGCACCACCATTGTTCGTTTTCTCTGTGTTTGAATTCAGCAAAATGCCTCTAGCCTTGTGAGAACCACTAGCTTCGGGTCGGAGCGTAAGCCTTTCCTGTGCCACTTTGCCGGGATCGGGCAAAGCACGTTTAGCCTTACGAGAAGAGGCTGCATCGGGTCTTGGAGGAAGTCGTTCTCGTGCAGTAGCGGTCGATGCCACGGCGTTACTCGGGTTTAGTTTTTCTTTAACGCGGTTGGACAATATGCCGTGAAATTCCTTAGAGCTTTCCTTGCTAGCAAATTCCGCAAGTTCTGTAACTTTCTCAGCTGGATAATCATCAAATACCAAAACTTTACCAGCATAAAAGATAGTCAACTGGGCATTCTTGGACTCCAGTGTTGCAGCCTTTCTGCTCAATTCATGAAAAATCTCATTCATTACATAGCGCCTTCCAAAAAGTGGGCATCTACGTTAATAAATTTGGAGTCGACTACAAAATCTCGTTTTTGCCACTTTATTGGGTTGATTGCAAAAGTCAAAAGTAAACCACTCTAAGAATAAAACAACTCAAAAGGTAAAGCTAAAAACCTTGTAGCAGCCTTATTCGAGGCATCGTGTAAATTACTCGAAGAACTCGGCATGCTTCGGCGAGGAACGGGCTCTATCGACATATATTGTTCAGTCGATGGTTGAACTGATTTTTCGATATTGTTCATGAATTTCGTTTTTGTAGACCCTGCAACTTGAGATTTGTCCGCTTTCACTGAAAACAACCATATCATACAATCATTTTCTTATCTTACATCTGACTCTCTTCGAAAAACACAGAGAAGAAACAAGACATTTTACCTATGGATTCAAGGCTCTCCACTTTATCACCAATTTCAAAATTCAAATCTCTGAAACTACCTTTCTCCTTGATAAATTGACTCAACAGATTGCAAGTATGAACAAAGTTGGATTTCTCCGGTGCCTTACGGGCCATTTTCCTATCGGAAAAATCTTGCGAATTCCACATGTTTTATAAAACTATTTCTCGAGCCAAGAATTTGATAAAACTCTGAATTTAAGGGGAATTATTTTTTGTTTAGTGGGGATTTAAGCACGTTTAGATTGCCTTGGAATAAAGAATTGAAAAAGGAAAATGAGGGGAAGTTGAAGAGCAGAGTACAGTTGAAATAATAGAATTGGTAGACATGATAAAGTACAAAGGTGCAAGAAAAACGAGCTTGAATGGAGGAAATACTATGAAAAGTAAACTTGATTGGTGTACGTTATTTATGCTATCAACTTGCAAGTTGATATTTCTTTCCATAATGACCGTTGTACCCCCAACGTAATTTCTGCCATGTCTCTTGCGAGAGAATAAAGGCAAAGCCAACGTTATTTGTAGGTTAAAAGTCTTTCCTCACTGTCCTTTTATACTCATTTGTTATATACTAAAATTTGGGTCGTTGTTATCACGTGGGTCGAACATGACTGGGACCCGTTATATGGAACTTGATTCTGAGCAATAATGTAAAGGTTCTATTTGTGTCCCAGTTTTTAAAATTGAAAAACTTTCAAATTTATTTTGAATTATATGTTCTTTCAATAAAATAATTTTGTATGTAAATTCAAAATTTTTCTTATTTTATAATTCATTCTCAAAAAAATAACTTTTTACAAAATTCATTCTAAAAAAGTGGGACTCAAATATGAACAAATTATTAATTATAATGATAATGTTACGTCTTGCCACTGAAACTCAAACAGAAGCCCACGTGGCAGCCATTAACAAGCCCGGCAAAAACCCACACCACATCATCAAAGATAACGAAGCAAACATGCCTCAACCACGAAGCTTCCTTCTACAAGTCACCTAGGGTGCAATCCAGCACTTCATTGAAGCACGATGTGCGAGGTTGAAGCCCATGTTGCCAAGGTGGATATGAATCACAATGTATAAGGCTGAAGCCCATGAGTGGAGTGGAAGCCTCCTAACCTGAGGAGCATCTTTCGTCGCGATCTCTCCCAAGAGATCTTCTGTATGCAAGATCCCGTGAAAGTGATGAATGTGACCTCTTATAGTAGGCATCATGTCAAGTCTTATGAACTTACATCATAAGCACACATACCTAAACCATAGTGTGGCTACTTTTTAGATAACACTACGCCCTTGATTGTTTTCAATTATTTTGAAAACATATTTTTCTATCTTTTTTTTAACTATACATTCTTCAATAAAATAATATTATATACAAATCCAAAAGTTTTCCTTATTTTAACCACACATCCTCCATCAAATCACTATTTCAAAATATATTTTTGACTAAAAATGAGACTTAAACTAGCTCTTAATACTGAGGGCCTAGGACGTTTATTGTGATAACCTATGATGGGGCGCTTCGACCGTTAGAATGAAACCACGTGCTTCTTCATCTAATGGCCACCACTCCAACAATGCCACTATAAAAACTCACAACTCACACAAATTCAGGAGTAAGGCAATTCTAATTCTAAAACATTGTAAGATTGCTCATGTCTATATTTATACATATTTTCGGTGTTCGAACACTTTTGTGGTTTGCACCTTAAAGCTCGTCCCACAATCATTATTTCCTTTTCGTAGACTGACTTGACCATCGGAATACTCGGGCCACTTCTCTCACCACCGGAGAAGGCCACAAATGACTGAAGATTTATCCAAATGTGTAGGAAATGAGTTTAAGTGGATGCCAGTAGGTCTGAGATTTGTTGGCCACGTCGAACGTACAAAAATCGATATCGACGAATAACATCCAGTTTTCCTTTGAGGAAAAAAAATTAACAAGCAATTGTAATCTCCATCTAACAACAAAATTCGAACAAGAAAACACCGATTTCTAGAGTGAATAATAAATCTTTTACATGAAAGATGTAAGCCACAATATGCTAAATAAATGAAACTACATGCTCCAAGTGCATTTCACATAACTTGTTCTGCCACCCCACTCCAAATTACGTCGTCAATTGCCATACTCGATACAACACTCCTTCTAGTGTGGAAGTGGAGTATTTTTGGAAAGTGCACTGCAGACAGTTTTGGCCTGGAGTTTTAGTGGGCTCCTTTTTCTAAGACAACGTCGTTTTCATGGCCTTGGGGATGAGGTTGGGGTTGGGTCCGTGTTGATAGGGACAATATTGTAGTGAGTGTAGGTTGTGGAGGAAAGTGGGGAAGCGATGAGGAGGCAAGATGACCAATCACAAGGGGCGGCGCGTGAGTTCTTACTGTGGGTTTTATTGGGACAGAGACAGTGGAATAAAAAATTGGAGGCATAGTGAATGGTTGATTGGAAACGGTGGTAGAGCCAGACATTTTTTATTATGGAATCAAAAACTAAAATATAATTTTTTTTAAAAAAAACAATATGAGGTTAATGAAAATAAATTAATACAATTTTAGCCTACGTGATTTCATACTTTGAAAACGACAAAATGTCGTATAATTACATCATCATTAATATTGTCAACTACATTTTAATAAAGAATTGCCTTGGAATAAAGAATTGGAAAAAGGAGCTTGGCTTGGATTTGGGGTTAATGGTTTAGGTGGTTGGCTAAAATGGGAAGGGAAGGTTGGGAGGGAAAGATAATTATTTTGTGAATGGGGTTGAGGTGGGTGAGGAAGATGAAGAAATTTCTTTCTCTTTTATATTCTTTTATTCTTTTTTTTATTCTTTCCTTTTATTTAAATATTTTAGGTTGTAAAATGTAGATTTACCATTTTTCCTTTTTAAATATGGTCAAATTATGATCAAACGCTTGACTTTTGATCAATCAACGGATACTTGGACGGAATCCATCAAGATATCCTTCTATAGGACATTTTTAAAAGGTTTGAGACATAAATACTACTATTTAAAGATTTGGTAGGATTGTGACATTCACCGTAAATTTCCTTTACTACTACTACTACTAACCTCTATTCAGAAGGGATAAGTCTACGTTTTCGCCCAATACCAAATCTTGTGACAATATTAATTCCAATTAAAGAATTATACGATCATAATCATAAAGTTCATTAATTCAAATTAAAAATATATATGCTCATAAAATTCAAATTGATAAAAAATTTACTCTCCAGAAAATTTTATAATAACAAAAAGAAAAAAAAAATTCTACTTAGTTTTTCACTTCAGTTTTACATGTCACTTACTACTCTCGAGATATCATACATTGCTTGTATTGATATGAAGGAAATATAAACACTAGTAATTATGTAAACATAAAATTTATCACAGCATATATTATGCTAGTGTTGGGCCCTCATTAATTTTTTTATTTTTATTTTTTCTCTTTCTTAATTTTAACCACACATTCCCCAAGTAAACATACTATACATTGACTTAATTTTTTTTTTAATGATTTCACAAAATTGAACTTTTTTTGCTTAACCAAGTTCTTGAGTACGAGGGAAGACTCGATGATTATACGTTCGTTGAATCAGAAGCCAAGTCTTTAGTAAATTGTGGTGCCTCCAATGATGAACTTAAGAAAGAATATGAATATTCAAGAAAGAACAAAAGATCTACGTAAAACAATTTCTCACCGTTAACAATGAGATCAGAGGAAGGCAACGCTTTGTCTAGTTTTCGTACCCTTCTTTAAATTTTATGGCCATGTTTGAGTCATGTTATTTTTTTCATTCTTGTTCTTCTATTCATTTTTAATCACACATTTTTCAATAAAATAATATTTTAAATCATATCAATAACTTTTCATTCTTTTTCAACAACATATTTCTCGTCACATCAAACAAAAAAATGCATTCTTGAACTCAAAATGTGCACCAAACGGGAGCATATCTATTAGTGAAATTCGTCATATATCTCGAAGAAAAAAGCTAATTGTACAAAAAAAAGTTGACAAAAAAGTTGACAAACCCTCACATGATTGTCGGCCCCACGTGAATAAAAAATTGAAAATAAAAAGTGAGCCCCCCACATTGTGAGGATTTGTCAACTTTTTTGTCAAATTTTTTTGTACAAGTAGCAAGGTTGTATCTCGAAACATATGGACCAAGCAATGTAGATTTCTCTCGAGGGATCTAGGGTTGGGGTGTAGGGTCCTTAAGCATTAGAGGCATGTGAATTTCCTGTATCATTACTCTGAAAAAGGACAATTCGGCGCGGTACGGGTTTAGAAAATTTCTCCAACTTTGCACATGGACAATAAAGTGACTAGTGAACAATGGACCACACGTTACTGCTGAACGTGTCCCCTATAAGTTGTCACGCAAATTTTAGGCGATGCTATGATTTGACCTTGCATTTTATAATGAATTGAAAATCGATTCGGATGTTGACTCAATCAAAAAACGAGTTAGTATTTAAAATTCAAATTCATTTAATTTTGGAGAAGAATTTAATTTGGAATAGTGATTGACAGAAGAATTTGTAGTTAAAAAATAACGAGAATTTTTGGGTTTATATGTAATATTATTTTATTGATAGAATGTGTGATTGGAGTGAAGAAAGAGAAAAAAATGGATGTCAAACAAAGGCTTAGTAAGAACATAACAAACAAAATTTTGTTGTGGATAGACCGATTCTTATGTCGATTTAAACTTTTTTAGGTAAGTTGGACCGATTCTCGATTTTATGTGGGTGGTTTTCAAAATAGTAACATAGCCGAAGATGAACAAGGTTAAGTGATCCGCTGAAGTTGTGGGATATAATTGCAGGGGAGCTTTCCGCCTTAGAGGGAAGCTCCCGTGTAAACAGTGGTGGACGCTGGAAGGAAGAATGTGTTGAAATTTACGGGGATATTTTTATATTTTAATTGAAAAAGTCTCTAATTGGTGCGATGATTAATCGTGGTTCTTCAATATAAATAGTGCATACCAAAAAGTCATGTTATTTTGGAATGAGTGTTATTATGTGATCTAATAGTTATCATTAATTTGTGTCAAAAGATGCAACAATTTGAAGAGACACGTGAAAATTTATAATTGGGACTTTCGTA